TGAGTATTTCAAAAACTGCTGATCTACTAGGATTTTCACGCACAACCATCTCTAGGGTTTACAGAGAATGGTCCGAAAAAGAGAAAATATCCAGTGGGGGGCAGTTGTGTGGACGAAAATGCCTTGTTGATGTCAGAGGTCAGAGGAGATTGGGCAGACTGGTTAGAGATGATAGAAAGGCAACAGCAACTCAAATAACCACTCGTTACAACCGTATATTCTATTGCCCTACACCAACCCTACCCCTAAACCTACCCCTCACAGGAAACTTTCTGCATTTTTAGATTTTCAAAAAACTTAATTCTGTATGATTTATAAGCTTTTGTACCCGGACCGACCACAATTTAGGTCCCCACCGTGACACGAGTCCCCATGAGTCTGTGTGTAGTCAGGTTGTTAAGTCCCCACCAGGATATATAAACCAGTACACACACACACACATATATATATCTATATACTGTATGTGTATGTATGTGTGTGTATATATGTGTGTGTGTGTGTGTATATGTATGTGTGTGTGTATGTGTATATATATGTATATGTGTATATATTTATGTGTGTAGATATAGATAGATAGATGCCACTCATCTGGATCTTTACATTGTTTAGGGGCATTTTTAAGTCTGATGTGGACTCGCATCCTTGTTTAAACACTGTAATCCTGTTTAAATTTAAATCAATCAATTTTATCTTTACTGATAGCACTTAACATCATCAGTACTGTTTCAGACAGTCAGGATGCTTTATTTACTTTTATTCTTCAGTAGATTGTGTTCCTTAACTCTTCCTCTCTTCAGTGCTAGTAATGTTTCTCACACAGTGGTTCTGCGGCCTCTGAAAGCTGGATACTTCAACTTCACCTCTGCTTCCGTTAGTTATCTGGCCCAGGAGGGTGGACAGGTCGTGGTAAGTGGAGTCCTATGATACCTTTCATGTACACAGTCAGTATAAGTAAATTGTTTTTTTTTCCTGTGCCTCGTTTAGCCATTATATATTAAATTTTGTAAAATGTTTTATTATTACAGTATATGTAAATGTAGTTACATAGACTTTTCTCGTTCTTTGCATCTCTTAGGTTGGTTACACAAGTGCTCCAGGTCAGGGAGGCATCCTGGCCCAAAGAGAGTTTGACAGACGCTTTTCTCCACATTATGTAAGTGCTTTAATATGGAAAATGGTGTAAAATGCTCTTTAATATATCATAGCCTGTGCAGTTATATTGAAATCTAATCTCTGTTTTTCCATCTAAAAGCTGGACTGGGCAGCTTTTGGTGTCATGACCCTTCCCTCCATTGGCATTCCTCTGCTCTTGTGGTACTCCAGCAAGAGGAAGTACGACTCCCAGAAGAGCAAAAAGAACTGAGTAATCTAATACAGGATAAAAACAGATCAGGGATCATTGTGGTAATGGAAGGAGGGAGGAATGGAAGTGCATTATGGTGGGCGGGAGTTGAGGTTTTTTTTTTTTTTTTTAGTAAATGAATTACCCATATTGGGGTAAATGGTCAGTGAATTAATCTGCTTTTAAGTGAGGTTGGTCTTCATCAGAAATTGAGGAATAAGCATCAAGTAGGAGGATCACCAACTGCTTTTGACATTAAAGTGGCCATTCCAGGGTGGCTTCAGGTGCACCATCTTTTTTTTTTTTTTTTTTTGTAATGATTGTCAAATGCTTGGTGCTCAAATGTTAAACAGAACTGTACAGTCCTTCATGATCAATGTGGGGCTTGTTTGTGGAAATAAAAGAGAGATTTATAGAGATCCTCTCATTGTGTGTCTGGTCACTCACTGAAATATGCTTTCATCTGTGTGTCTGCTTTCTTGTTCTGTGATGTTCTTTTCATGTAGTGATTAGTGCATTCTTAGTCTTTTATGGCAATATCATCTTTCTATCAGCTAAATAATCGGTGAAGTAATTCAGTCTATCAAACCTCGTTTGAAGCTATCAATTCACTGAAACAAACAAAATCAGTGGCTTTTAATCTGAATAAATATATTTGATTTTTTAATTATGGAATTATTTGCTGCGCAATTACAACTTTGAGTGATTCCACACAAAAAAAATGTATATCCAGGTTCAATTTAAATGATAAACAGATAAACATGCCTACATCCTCCATGGGGAGGTCACTATTAACAAGCCTTATAAATGTATATACAGGTTATAAGCAATGTAATGTTATAGTACACACATATCATTCTAATATTTATTACTATGCTGTTTTTTTTTTTATTGTCATACAGAGGGTTTATAAAGGAAATACTCTTTTGGTGAATTCAGAGGTCTATACTGTACAATCGTGAGGTCAGCGTTTGGGGTTTGGTGGGGGCAGACATGCTCTAGAGCTGGTTGGTCTTTCTGGAATCTGCTCATAAATGGAGCTGGAGGAAGCATTCAGGTTTGGCTGCTCTGAATGATGAAAACCTGAGTGTTGAGGTTGAGTCATCATTGGGGACACACCAAAACTCTGAGGGAAAAATCATAAAATTTAGCATTTTTATAACAGACTGAGCACTATGTACTACACAGAATATCACTCATAAAATATTCTCATGGATATTTACCTGCCCATTGAGCTCTGGTCGTAAAGGACCATGAGCAGATCTTGGGGGTGGTCTAAGAGGAAGACTAGGCCCGGGTCTTGGTACAGCATAGCCTTCTTGGGCACCCTTGATGTTCACCTCTGAATACAGATGATTCTTTGGAAGGTTCACTGAAGAAAAGGTCAAAACAGCAAATAATGTACCAAATAAGCATTTATATGTTTTATATACTATATATTATTTTAGTGACTATTTAGTGCATGGTTCTTTTGAAACCAATTCAAATCATTCTTATATTTACTTAAACTTAAACAACACTCGCACTCTTTTTGCTACTGTTGAGAGACTGACAAACAATAAACTTGCCTTGCCTTGCCTTGCCTTATATTTGAACTCCAGACAGGAAACGTTAAAAACTAGTAAGTCCTGAGCAAGTTTGATGCTTGTTTTCCTCGTTTCTCACCTTCATCCACTGCCGCCTGCCTCCTCCACCCCACGGCATAGCAGTCAATCTCTTCTGGACGACTGCGTGTGTGTGGAGTTTCTTCATAAGTGTGCATGGGCTCCAGTTTCCAGTATTTCGGGTCTGCTGTTGTGTCAGAGTTTGGGATGGATGGAGTGGTAATGGCTGCTGTCACTCCCTGGAGATCAGGTTGGGCACTGAAATTGGGGGTATTTTCTGATACTGCTCTGGGGGGTTTGTTAACTCGAGCATACGGGACATCCACAGGAGAAGCTTGATCCCCTGTTAGATTAAGATTTGAGGGTCTTTCAGCAACCTCAGAACTGCCATTCTAGAGGGAGGAAAAGTAGTATTGAAGAAGTATGTCCTGTTAGTGTATAATATTTATAATATGACATTAAACACTTAAATACAAAAGTCATAATTAAACTTACCCTTACGAAAATTAACCATGGATTTTTTTATTTTTTACCATTTGTATAACCACAGTTTTACAACAAACACCATGGTTAAACTATGGTTAGTGTAGCAAAACCATGGTTAATTTGTGGTTACCCTGGTTTGACTATTGTAACCATGTTTTTGGTTTGTAGTAAAACCATGGTTAATTTTCGTAAGGATAAGCTTTGAGTAAGATGGCACAAGGCAACAGAAGTTGTTATCTAGTAAATGTGAGCTGTTTTTGGCATTAGATAACTTCCCTTTAGAAGTATTAATTAAAAGAATCTGTTGCTTCGGGATTCGGATTAGCCGCGTTGTTTTTTATTCACTAAAATTAATCGATTCAAATGAATCATTGGTTCGTAAATCAGACTACAAAACACACGTAGAATGTTTGTCTGTTCGTGCATTCTGCGATGACAACTCGACAAAAATATGTTTTTCTTGGCATTATGTTACCGTACACGGTCTTGTTACTGCATCTCACATAATATACATATGAAGGTCGTGAATAATCGAAAAAAAAATCTCTGTTGACCGAGTAAAATTCGCCACCTTGTTGCTAGAATATTCTTAGAGGTTGCTATAGCCTACCTGCTGAGGTAAGAGAATTTTAGCTTGTTGCTATGCAGTCTTTACAGTGTTCTGCGTGGTTGCTAGGATATAACTAGGTGGTTTGTAGGGTGTGAGGGTGCTTACTAGTCAAAAGAGGCAAGAGAGGGTGTTCAACAAAGAGGCCTTGATGATATTCTTGTCCACAGATATGACTTTTAAATAAGTCTATGGGATTTTTTTTATCAGTTTCATTATCCCTCAAAGTATAATACAAGAAATGTGAGAGAGAAAAAAATGAGATTTTGCTTTTTGCTTTCATTGTCTGTAATTTACTCACTTCTAACCCAGGAGGCGCTGTTTCAGTTCCATACTTGCATTCTGGCAGTGAGTGAGTCTTTTTTAATGGCTTTCTCACAGCTGCATACTGCACAGACTCTTCTGTAGCAGAAGTGGTCTGTTTGGAGGGGTTTGTGGGTAATGAGTTCAGCACAGCTGGACCGATAGCCATGGGCAGTCTTGTCTGCTCCTCTTGATCTATTGCTTTTCCATTTCTCTCTTCTTCCCCGTCCTTCACCCTCCACCTATTAATTTCCGCAAAACCCCCATCAGGCTAGATAGCAAGAAAAAATTACAGGATATGAAGTGAGATGACAGGAAAATCATGTGTAAAATCATCTTTAATATCTCCCTTTCTGTATTAAAAATCAAAGATTTGCTAGGGGAAAAAATGTTTGTGCACCTGCATGCAAGGCACAGTCAACATCTCATTAAAGGGCCCCACAGGATTACGGGTGTAGTAGCTGATTAGGTCGTCCAGGCTTCTATGACGGCTGTGTTCTCCAGCAATAAGATATACACTACCAGGTGATCCACACTCATCCTCTTCAATTATGAAATGACGACACCGGTCTTCTCCTCTGGGATTTTTAATGAATTTGTTATTTAGTGAGTGAGATTACGGATTTTGAAAATATGTACAATGACACCAAATGTAGCTGAACACACTATGGCCTAAATGCCATTGCATTAGATAACAAAATATCTTACTTCTATAAGATATACTAGTATTTTGCTGGTATACTAGTATTTTAAAATGAACAGTAGCACACTGTTCAAGGAAAATTTGTTATGTTTAGGTTTTAAATGATAAAGTAATAGGTAAAGTTTTGCAAAAAGTATTGCAATTGCAAAAATGGCTCATTAAAGGGAAGTTAGTTTTGAGAAAAGGCCCAGTAGCCCCTCACTGCAGAACAAAGATCCAGGGGGCGGGGTTGGATCCACATCTAGGGGGTGGAGATGGGTAGGTTTAGGGATCAGGGGGTGGAGACGGGTAGGTTAAACTTTAGGTATATGTAAGGTGGGAGGAGTTTGATCTGGATCCAACCTTGCCCCCTGGATCTTGTGTTCTGCAATGAGGACCATCTCAAAAGGCCCAACATCATTTGTGTGCAGATTACACTTGATTTGATATTTTGTTGTACACAACAGTTGACAGGCTGTCTGTCGGTCACATTTTTGACTCTTCATCTGTGTGATGAGGGTGACTCTTCCTACAGCTTGAAGAAACATGTCTGTCTTTATGAGTTGTTTAAATCATTTACTTTACTGATTTGTTTAAACACAATCAGGAACAAAAGAAGTGACTGTTTTATTACTGAGTCATTGAATCAATCACACAACCAATTTGATTGAACTCTGATACATTCAGGAACAAAACACCACTATTGTATGTTGCACAATGGTCGATTTTGCTTATTAACTTTTTGTATACTGAACAATTTTTTAATCCAACACCACATTTTAAAGGTCCATTTACACCAAGGATGATAACTGTAACAACACATTTTTATACTCTATATTATAGAGTTTTTATACAGTTTCTAAACAGTTTTAAAATATGAGAATAGGGAAGTTCAGCGATAACAGTAATGCGGAACAATATGTTTGGAATCCACCTTAAAGAGCTCAAGCATTTAAAGTGTCGGGTGACAAAACTGCAGCATACACTTATAATAAACAGAACATTATCCTGAATTGGTGTGGACGCTAGGCTAATTGTTCTAGTTATCTTTAAAGTTATCATTTTTAGTGTGAACAGGCCATAAGAATGACATTTTAAGAATGTTTTTTTGTGTTCAAAATAAAGTACCTGTAAGACAGCACAAAGCCGATCTTTGACTCGCTGAGCCTCAACAGGAAACTGCCTTGTGGCTTATCCTGCAGCAGCTGTTCCGCTTCCCTGAGAGAGTGAGAAAGACAGGTTGTGTGAAAATGTAAACCAAATACATGTATTTGACACTGTTTCACATCTGCATGTGTGAAACTTTGCTTGTGCACCTGTTTTTCTGTTATGTTTTTGGAAGAATATTTAGATGTGGCTGTAACCTGCGTGTAGCAAAACCATGGAGCCAGCAGGGGAGAGGCTGTCCGGGCCTGTGCAGTCGAGGCAGCTGCGTTCTTTCAAACCACAGCAGAGTGTGAGCGTGCAGAGATGGAGTCAGAGCCTCCAGGGGCCTCACGGGACCCAAAACCAGAGCAGGATCTATTCGTTTCACTGTCGTCTTTTACATAGAGAATCCAAGTAGGATGTCATTTAGATATAATATATAATATAACTTAAATATATTTTAAAATATATATTAAAAAATATTTAAAAAGACAAAAAAGTATTTGACACGTGCCTTCACAATATTACAATGTAAAATGTTTTCATGGTTATACTAGTAGGCTACTGTGTAAATATAAACTACAAAAAT